ACCTGGTGTACCTGTTCCTGAGCCTCTTGGGCATTTTCATCTCTACATTTGGCGCTGTGTCTGGTGTTTGCCTCCGCCACATCGCTGGCTCAGGCTTTCTATCTGTTACCTGCTCTGACGCTGACTGGGTTCTTTCTCATGTCCTTGTGGCTCCTTTGAGTATTCAGTTTCCGCCTGTGTCCCCTTCTTTGCATACTGCCCGTGTTACCTAGTTTATCTTTCTCTACCCTGTCCATTCCTCTGAGAATTTTGTGGGTAGTGTTCTTGTCTCCCCTTCCTCTTCTGTCTTCATGTCATAAGTTGCATTTCCGCAGCCAGTCCTTGTCACTCTTGCCTCTTAGTTCTGGGGCTAGCCTCGTGGCATGCCTCTGCACTTTTTCCAACGGGGTACGGGCTCCATGCTGGGGCTGCATACTCCAGGTTTGGTCTTTTGTATGTGGTATACAAGGTGCTTGCACTGTCTACGGGTGGGTGTTGCTTCCGTTCCCGACTCCTGCCCCTACGATTCCTTTTCGTTGAGGCTAGGATTATGGTCCTGGCTACTGCTTTTGTGTTCCTTTCAGGGACGTTCTTTTTGTTTTTGTGCGGTACATGTTCTCCTCATATATGCCTCGGTGATGCATGTGTCTTTCTTCCCTACTGGTGCTGTTTGCGCTGCTCCTGCGGGTTGCAGGGTTGCTGTTTTTCGCTTCGCGTTTCGGTTTGTGGTCCTCATTCATGGTTGGCCTCTTCCTGCTGTCTGGTGGCTGTTCCTTCTGGGTCTTTGCCGGCCTTGGTTGGGGGCGCTTCTTTGTTAAGTGTCCGATCCTGAGAATCTTCCTGCGACTCCACCTCTTTTTGCAGTTTGGTCCAACCCTGTACCCGGCTGGTTCGTTCTTCCCCTCGGGTCTTCGCGGCTCGGGATCTTTTATCTCGGGTTCTCGTCTCTTGTGTGGGTGCTGGTGGCTTCGTTATTGGTCTCCCACCTGCGTGCTTTGTCTCGGTGACAGTGTGTAATTCCTGGCGGTCCTTCTGGTCTTTCCTATCACTGCGTAGTTGTATTACGGTCTCTGATAGGGTTATTTTGGCCTTCCTTTCCGGGTTGTTTCGGGACCGTCGATGGGTGCCGCATGCTTTCGCTTCGTCTCAGGTGGCGCTGGCGGGACCGCTCCTGCTTGCGTTCGGTGTTGCTCTTTCTTCTGCTCTGTTCCGCTACCTGTCTAGTTTGGCAAGGGGGTTTTCTAGGGCCATTGCTCCCTGAAACCTCTCTGAAGGGGCCAGGTTCTGGCGCTGGTCCCTGGTAGGTCTGAACTCCTTAGCTAATGTCCCGGTCTAATATAATATACATTAGCCCGATAAGCCCTAGGGAGCCTCCGGGGCTCACCCAGAAAATGGCGTTTCATTACATTCAACGCTGGTTTTTTCCTCTCGGATTCTCCTTGTGGTGAGTTTGGGAGGTGCTTGTCACGTACCTCCTGTGAGACCTGGGTTATGCCTCTGTGTTGGATCTGGTTTTTGTTTGAGTTCGGTTCCTCTTATACTGATCAGATGCATTTCGAGGTTCCAGTGTCTTCATGGCTGGCAGCCTGCCTTGATGACTGGTTGGTGTGGGCTCCCAGCTGGTCCACTTGTCTGCTAGCCTGGGATATGGTTATTTCCCAGCTTGTCGGGTTTGGGTTCCAGGTACATTGGTAGAAGTCCCAGTTTGTTCCGTCACTGGTTCGGACTTGGCTGGGCCTCATATTGGATTCTCGGGCTGCGTCTGTCTCTCTTCCTTTTGCAGCTCTGCTCCAACTGCAGTTCTGCTTTCTGGTGTTTTTGAGGGGGATCCGGATCACTTGACTGTTGCTCGAGCAGCTGTGCAGGAGCCTAAGTTTTGGCCTTCTGATTTATCCGGTGGACAGGATTTGACTTCAGAGGCTGTTCTGGTATCTCCGTAGTTGCCTCTTTTGCCTCACTCACGACCGCTGGGTTCGCACCCTGAGGTTTTTGCATTGGTTGCTGCATCACCAGCTTCCTCTTCGGGTTTTCGGAGTTTGGTGCCATGGCATCATTCCCGTCCCTCACTTGATGTGTTCCCTGATGCATCGTCTCGCGGTTGGGATTTGTGACCAGTACTCTCTAATCCGGCCTGGTGCGTTGGAGTCTGTTTTTAAGTCAGGCTCACAACACGGTGCGGGAGTTTGTAACAGTGTGGCAGGCACTGCGCCAAATTTGGCTTCTTTTAGGTTCCTTGATATGGCTCCTTTTCCTGAACCACGGGGACAATGGAACACCGTGGTTTGTTGTCTTCACCTTGGGGGGTTCTCTTTGGTCTGGGGCTCTTTGAGGTTGCTTGCTTTGGGTAGCTCTTCTGCTGAGTTCTCGGGGTTTCGTTCTCCATGCTATTCCCATTTGAGGCGTGCCCAGCGTTCTGGCAGACAGCATGTCCTGGGTCCTTCCTCCTTTCCCAGAGTGGATGGTTGACGCCTGACGTTGAGTCCTTTAAGTGGCTTTGCCTGACGTACGGTTGCCTGGAGGTGGACTTCTTCTCGTCGGCGTGGTTTCGGTATCTCCTCATATCCGTGGAACCGTTCCTCAACTGCGAGGCGGTCACGGTAGATGCTTTTCAGCCGTGGGGCTCTTTTCAGCAGGATTGAGATGCTTTTCAGTAGGACTGGTCGAGGTTGGGGTTTCTATACCTCTTTATCCCGGTCCAGCTGTTGCCCCAGGTTCTGGTTCACTTGGAATCCTATCAGGGAGAGGGTTCTTCCCCAGCCTTGGTTTCAGGTGCTGCTTGCGTGGTGTCCGAACCCGGGCGTCTTTCCATGACTCTGCATCTACCAGCAGATTGGGCCAATGAGCTACCTTGCTGGTTTGATTTACTGCTCTGCACTTTGCATCTGGTCTTTCTGGTGAGGGTGTATCACCATTTCTATGGTAATCAGGTGGCTTCTATGATGGTGTCTCACCTGCGGTCTTTTTCCAGGAGACAGTATGCAGTCTCTTGGCGATCTTTCCATCATTTCCTTTATCTTCAGGGATTTTTGGCGATTTCAGATCGGGTTGCTTTGTCCTTTCTTTTTTTGGCTTTTTCTGGGTCGATATATGATGCCAAATACTGTCGCTTTGTATTGTGCAGCGTTGGCGGAGCTGATCCACCTTGTGCTCGGGGTGGATGTTACTTCTGCTCCGTTCTACAAGATTTCAAGTATGTTTTTTCACCTCCAGCCTGCTCATGTGCCGCCTGAGCCTTCCTGGTCTTTGGATCAGGTTCTTTCTTTTCGTTCTTCCACGGCGAGCACCGCAGAAGTCCACAGTGCTCGCTGAGGTTTTTGGTATTATGTCTTGGGTTGCCGTTCAGGTGCAGGAGTTTTCGAGGTCAAACTAGGTCCTGGCCCACATGATATCTCGTGAATGTTCCAGGCTCTTTCCTGCCTTGTGTGGATCTGGGGCATCGATCATGGCCATTGGTCTCTTCTTCGACTTGATCAACACCTGTAATGTTGCTGCCTCCAGGGTAAGTCCCTGTTTTTCGTTCTCTGTGGGTAGTAACTTTAAGGAGCCGGTGGGGTTCCCCACAGAAACCCAACGTTGAATATAATGAAACACCCTTTTCTGGGGGCTTCCAGAGGCTCCCTGACTCCCTCCATCCCTCTGGTTGGCAGTTTTTCCATCAGGCGTAGAACTGAGATGGTGGAGGTTAGCTCGCCTGAGCTGCTTCCCCCCCTCCCCCTTATCAGGAATGAGGTGGTTATGCTAATGAGTGGCAGTACTAGTTGAGTACAGGGTTACTAGTTTTTCTTTTCTTTCAGCAGGAGTTCCTTGGCTGTAGGTAACAATTTTACCAGCTAGTTGTTTGTTTTGGTTTGCCTATCTTTCTGGGTAACTGCCTTGGTCGATGGCGGAATATGACATACAGGGGGGTACCTCAGTTTTCGTAATTAATCCGTTCCCAGAGACGGTATGAATATCGAAAAATGCGAATACCGAGACGAATTTTCCCATAAGAAATAATGAAAATTGAATTAATCCGTTCCACACCCCCCAAATTTTACCAAAAAAATACATTTTATACAGAAAACTACTAATAGTACCTTACCTTTATAGATGACTCTTGTTGGCATATGGAAGACAATGAGTAGGGGGGAGGGGGAGGAGGAGGAGAAGTGTTAGTGTTTGGAAGGGGGGGTCCCCTTCCATTATAACATCAGGCAGTGATGACATTTCTGGCTTACTCTCTCTCTTATGTTTCGCACGCATACCACTAGGACCTGGTTGTGGCTCACTGCTCTCTTGTCTTACTAAGAGTCTATAGACACTTGTTTTTCCCCTATGTTTTAACACTTGTCTGTAGTCAGACATCACATTGTTTCACTTTGAATGATCTCTTGTTTTTCCTCTATCGTCATCCTCACAACTATTTTCTTACGTTAAACATTACCACTGATTTTCTATGAACCCATGGCGTGATATATAATAAGAACTTTTATGTTCAGAAACCAAAGTAGCACAAAAACAATGAAATTCTTCACAAAGAATTCAAGCGCGATCATAACTAGGCGGGAGACACTGGTAAACTGAAGCGCCATGCTCGCAGTGGATCTGTACGTGAATGTACAAACGCCGAGCACCGGGGCAAACAACGAGTACCGAATCAAATTTTTCAGGGAAATTGAGTACAAGTACCGAAAAATATATAAATAAATGTAAATGGTGTATGAGCACTTTAAAGTGTTCATACGCCATTGCTCCCTGCACCTCTCTGAGGGAACCAGGTTTTGGCTCGTGGTCCTTGGACGGCCTAGGACCTCCTGTGAATGACGACCCCAAAATAATATATATCACATATCAGTTCGGATAGCTTCAGGGAGCCTCCAGCGCTATCCCCAGAAAAGGCCGTTTCATTAAATTCAGCGCTGGGTTTTTAATGCAATACCAAGTCATGTCAAAACATTATATTTACTCTTAAAAAATATAATACATAAAATATTAGATATTAACTAGACCTTCAATATTCACAGTACTTTTGTCTTTTTCAGATACCAATTCTTATACCTGGTGTCATCCATGTGGTGGAAACACTGATCACATGCATATCAGAGCTGGGTATATCAGACACAGTGCGTGTATTTGTAGTGAAGGGAAAGGCATCAAGGCCTTTGCTCACCGCAGTCATCAACATGCCAGTTGCAGAAGTCTTCATGGGTTCATAGACATCATGCTGAAATAGAATATTAATATAAGCGAGGATTAGCAAGGGCAAAATTTTTTTTATTTGATTTATTTATATATTTATTTTTTACAAATATAGAGTAGTAGTAGTTTCTATATGGACTATATCTATAAATTATACAGTCACATTAAAATGCATTAGTCAAGATTTCATGATGCTTAACCTTCGTACTGCACGGTTTTTATTGTGACATTCAGGTGGTGTGCGGAAAATAAAGTGTTCCCCCACTTTTTTTATATTTTTTGTAAATTGTTAAAATCCCTTCCCTGAATATGTACATGTAAAAAAACTATACAAAACTACTTACTTTGGCTGTGGCAACATGGAGAAGATTCGGTGTGACATCATCGTGACTCACCCGTGCAGGAAGCTCCAAGAGACAGTCGTTCAGGCGAGTCAAAACTAGCTAGTTGCCACAAATATATTTTCATTCAATTTTTTTAACGGATTTTATTGCTTTCTAATTATTTTTTTATCGTATCTGATGTACATTTGTGTCCTTTACAATATGCATTCAGTAGAATGTTCATAATGTTCAAAAAACTTTTGATAAATGTGTCACTATTGGGTCAACAAAACGTGTTTATTGTTGAACAATATTACTTGTTCAATTTTCATTTTATTTACAATATGTACACTCACACACACTGTATTACACACTCAGTACTTTGGAAGTGAGTGACAATGAAAGAAGCAGTCCATGATACTCAACATGACTTTGCACTTGATGCATCAGGTACACACAGATTTTTGCTTGCTATTTCTTTGTTCTGTGTGTGTGCAAACAACACACTCACATACACCTTTGCTTTAGCTCCTGTAGGAGGTATGTAGCCAGGCCTGTGAACTGTAAGGAAGTCTTTAGCACCCAGTCTGTTGGGAGTTATATATGGTAGTTATATAGGGTCTTGTTGGCACATGAATAACTGTCCTTACACTGTCTCCCTGACCATATTTAACAAGTAATTGTGACAAGAGAACATGACTAAAAACACGAATTGATGATTTCTTGCCTGATTTCACCAAATACATGTCGAAACAGTTCAGCACTGTTATGTCCACAAGGTGAAAGAACAATTTCTTTGTCCACTTAATACTTTTGCGAACACACTCGACGGCACCAACCATCATGTCACATTTATCTACCAATCTCATATTTATATAGTAGTCAATGACACTATCTGGCTTATACAATTTTCAGTATCTTTCAAACTTCATTTTACCACTGTCAAGCATTTAACCAGTGTGAATAGTTGTCAACATATTCACTTCATGTTCATTCAGCCATGTCCCCCCTTTTTTGTCTTTATTTTTATTTCTTCTCAACACATTTTATTCTTTATACTCAATTAGTATTAAGTTTTAGTTATTAATGTTTTTCCTGCCCGAAACGCTTTGCGTAATAGTGGCTTTAAGCATTGTATGTACTAGCTCTATCTATAAATTGGCAAATCTCTTGTATGTATGTACCTTACATGAATAAACATTTTATTTTTTTTTTATGTTTATCTACCTAACACACTGATAAACAATTACCTACACCAATATTAGTATAAAAAACTGGCATTTTCTGATCAGGGGGAAAAAGACACAGGCAGTTTGGGGCTTAATTTATTAGTAAAATAAATTCTGCAGAACATGTAAATAATATAAGTAGGAATTAACAAATGTAACATGTCTATGTCTGAGCACTAATATTTAACTTAAAATGTACCCCCGTAGTAAGTAAGAGTAAGCATAGCCTAGTGATATGGCAAACACGTTCTGCAGGAACCTAATGGCAGATGAAATGTAATTAGAACTAGGTATAACAGTCAGGACACAAAGGGGAAATAAAGTGCATAGACACATAATACTTAACGGAGCCCGACCAAGACATAATGGTAAATCCTAGAATTAACAAGCGGGCAGAAAATACCTAGTGACTGGGGAAAGACTGATATGACAAATGGGAGAAGTTTTTCCCAGGTTGTGAGGCCGGCTGCCAAGGAATAAGGAGAAGGGTTTCCTGACTAACGGTAGGGCTTACTAGCACCTAGAATGGGCAAAGTATTAGCTGCGGACAGCGGGACACTTGGGGACCGGCGCTGCACCCCCACCGCAGGCCAGCTGGCCGGCCCCCCCCCCCACGAAGGGCAAGGCCCACTGGCCGCAAGGAGGCCTCTCAGAGTGGCAGAGCAACAACATCCCGGACGTAGTCAGCTGGGGGTTCCAGCTGATTGCTGGACCCTGGACCTGCCATTATCTCCGTTGGCGAGCCTGTCAAGAGAGCTGTGTGGCTCTGCCAATTCTAAAGGTATGAGGGCGTGGTCGGCTGGAGGCGAGCCTAGCTCTGCGAGGGCGGCGCGAAGCGCCCTCTAGAAGTCTTGCCTGTTCACTGGGCATGGGCTGGGTAGAACTTGCCGGGGGGGCTCGCTCACCAGGCTAGGGTATGCGTGTGTCCCACGCTGTGCTTGTAGGATCCGAAGAGTGCTGATTTCTGACCATGTAACGATACCTAGTCCAGTCAGAGCGTGCGTCGACTTTTAGTCACGTAGATCACCTCCCCCGGGCTGAAAGATAAAATGTAGTAAGGGTGGGCAGAAGCGGCATGCAGTGGTAACATGACAGGCAAGAGCACAGACGAGAGGTAATCCCTAGCTGAACCGATACACAGGAGACGAAAAACAGGGGGAGGGGGGGGGGCGGCCAGGAGCCGGAATTAAAAGATTCCTTAATTAAACAGTCCTGGATGAATAAGATTTTTTCGTAATAACTATACTGTAGCAAGGAAGGGGGCTAACAGTTCTAAAAATCTTCCAGCAAACGGAAGGGGCGAAGTACCTTTGCTGGGAGAAAGCCAGTAGGAGAACAGCAAGGAAGCACAAAGCAACTATATATAAACAGGTATAATACGAAACACTGTAAATCCTGATAATATAAACAATACATATACCATAGAACGGGTATATACAACAAATCAATATATACATAAACCATAAATGGAATAAGAACCAATTCTTAAAGCCATATCTCAACTCAAGTGGCATTAAAAGTGGCATTCTCAACTCAATCAACAAGAAACATGAATATGAAAAGAAAGTTAGGATTGGCCTAGTTTCAAAGGAAGTAGCTAAAAGGTACTCATCAATGCTTACCAGTATCATAAGAAAGGCAAAACTTGCATATTATGTGAATAGATTCAATGAAGCAAAAGGCAACATGAAAAGCACTTGGAAAACTATCTCTAGTTAAGGAGGTTGCCATGGAAGTGGCTTCCTCTCAGGAAGCAGCTAGATGTACTAGCCAGCTGATAGAGAGAAAAAGAGCAGTAGTAGTAGCAGGCATTAAAGAGCAAACAGGGACCAGACCAAAGGAGCAGAGAGACAAGGACAAAAACATGGTTACCAAGATCCTTAAAGAGGTAAGGATGGAGAGAACTGAACAAAATGTTGAAAAGGTTTTCAGGCTTGGAAAGTACAACAAGGACAGAGACCGAATGATAAAGGTGGTATTCATGAGCGAAATCACGAAAGAGGAACTGTTAGCAAGGAAGAGCAGTCTAGCAAATGTAGAGAAGTTCAAAAAAGTAGAAGTTCCAGCCTCCCCCCTCTCACCCCCCCCTCTCCCCCCCCCCCCAAGCCCTTCCTCCTCCACCAGTCTCCTCATACCAGATCCTCCCAGCTCCCGCTCACCCCAAACCCCACAGGTCCCCCCCCCCCCAGAGGAGAAGCAGAAGAGAGTCAGTTTCAGGGTAATGTACTCGAACATAGATGGGATCACAAGCAAGGCAAGTGAACTAAGGAAAAGAGCGCAAGAAGTGAACCCAAGAGAACAAGAAGTGTAATCGGACTCACTGAAACAAAACTCTCTGGAATCATAACGAATGCCGTGTTTCCCCAGGAGTACACAGTAAAAAGGAAAGAGAGGGAAGGTAGAGGAGGAGGCAAAGTGGCCTTACTCATGAGAAAGGAATGGAGTTTTAAGAAGATGGCTATCCTGGGCTGTGAGGGTTTCAGAGACTACATAGCAGGCATCATGACAATGGGAGGACCAAGAATAGTAGTAGCAGTAATATATAACCCTCCACCAAATGACAAAAGACCCAGTCAAGAGTACGAAAACAACAACATGGCAGTTAACACTATAATTGAGAGGGCAGCGTCTGCTGCCTATAGAAATAGATCTCACTTGCTCATCATGAGGGACTTCAATCACGGAAGGATTGACTGGGAGAACAAGAAACCGCATGGAGGTGAGGATACGTGGAGAGCCAAACTACTGGAGGTGGTGAATAGAAACTTTTTAACCCAGCATGTCAGAGAACCCACAAGGATGAGAGGAAATGACGAATCAGCAAGACTCGACCTGGTCTTCACCCTGAACGACTTTGAAATAAGAGAAATCGGTTTTGAGGCCCCAGTAGGAATGAGCGACCACAGTGTATTGGTGTTTGAGTACCTGATTGAAGAAGGGTTATTGAACTCGAGGAGGGATACCGAAACCAAAAGGTTATCATATCGAAAGGGAAACAGTGAGGAGATGAGAAAATTCCTAACAGATATAGCATGGGAAACTGTGGGACATTTGGGGCTTGACTCTATTTATTTAAATATTAATGTAATGAAAATCAATTACGAAGGACCACCCACTTTTATAGTAAAGAGGGAAACTAATAAAATATGATCATTAGAAAATTCCTAGATGAACCAGTAACTATGGATAAAATACTAGAGAATATGATCACTTATATAATTAATGGGCTGTATAATTTAACTGAATCAAAGCCTCAAACACCTACATTGGGGGGTTATTACTGGAACTTCATATATGTCCAGGAACTAGTGTGGTTCGTGCACCAGTTCATTATGCAATAATCTAATCCTATGACCAATTATAGAATCATTATATTTGTTACCAATAAGAACATAGATTATGAACATGAGAAATTAATAATTATAATAAACACATGCTAATCCATAAAACAGTGCTCCGCATGAATAATACTACAGATAATGGAATTAAAGGAATACGGAAAGGGTCTTAGCTTGAAGACGATTTCCAAGACATCGGTTATGCCTCATCCTCGGAATCTCCTGAACTCATCATGGAACACTGGGAGAAGATTAGCACGGGAAATGACAGCTCGGGGAAGTCTTCACACACGCTGCAAATCAAATTATATTCAGTAGCAACAGATTAAGCTGCTAGACATCTATGTTCAAGAAAATTAAATCAAAGAATGGAGGCAGA